AAGCGTTCATATTTAATATCAATCCACCTAGGCTTCGATTCTCCTGTTGCCAAGAACATTCCACGGCGAAGCGGTTTCTTCACATTCACCATCACCTTATGTCTCACAAATTCCCCCCACCCGAGAGGACCATTATCATCAAGTTCGATGAAACCACCAAGAGATTCGCCAATGCTCTTAATAGCCTGAGGGTTTCTTCTATTGAAGGGAACATCAAAAAGTCTAATCCACATTGGTGTGCATTCAAAGTCAACCTCAGAAGGCTGTACTTCCCCTTGTATCTCTTGGAGCAGCAAAACTTTTCCATCGAAAAACCACGGCATTCCATCCATGACTCTCTTTTTATCAGCATCATTGAAGAATTGAAACACAAAGAAATTCGTATCTAGCATTCGAACAACCATGTTGTCGTTCAACCTCCACACCTTCATCAAAGTTCGCTTCATCTCCTCAATGTTAAACGGTTTCACCGTACATAATTTCCCAATAAGAGCTAACCTCAGTTGATCTTTTGAGAAATCATCATCATTCAAAATCAACTCTTCACCCACCACGGTATTTTCATCTATTGTCAATTGTAATTTTTCCCATTCTTTGATGAGTTCATCAGCCATACTTGAGAATTCAGTCAGAAGAAAAGTCAGCAATTGATGAGAAAATTATGAAAATTTATGCAAATTGATGTGAGAAACAAGCGAGTCGCCAAAAAACCCAAACTAGGGACGTACAACCCTAACTAGGGACTTCAAAAGATTTATCTAGTGAAGAGACTGACATATAGTTCTTGGTTTAGCGGCTTGTAAAAATTGTATTACACAAATATGTAAAAATTCTACATTGTCATTTCTCAAAAGAGGCACCATAATACGCTAACGTAATGAAATCTGATTGGTCCATATTTAGTATTTTGATTTTGATTTAAATTATTTTAAATGTTCATAATGCATTAAAATTTTATATTATGAAATTTTGTGAACAACTACCCTAAAGATAGATTGTGTTGTGAACAATTCCCTTTTTTTTATTATTATTTTTATTTTTATTTGTGAACAACTACCCATAAGACAGCAAACTTTTGTCTAGCACTACCAATTAACAGATTTCGTCTAATTGTATCGTTTATGGGGTTCATACCTACGATTTCTCCCCCAATTAACTCCCTCTCCAAGTACCTCTCTCCTCCTTTCACCATTTTTGCTTCTCTTCTTTATTAGGCCTTGCACCTTTCACCATCTTAATCTAACCTAAGCGAATCTTTGTGCTCCGAATTCATCCCCTTTTGAATAAATTGGCAGGGCTTAAAGCCCATTTTCTTTCCTCTCACAGCTATCTCTCTCTTTCCTACTCATCTTCTTGCCAAATTCAATTCAAACCCTAACCGTAAATAAGTAAAACCCCTAATTCAATTCAAACACTAAGCCCTAGAAATTAAAATCCCCAAACTGAACTGAAACCCTAAATCCTAAATTGTATCTCTAATTACGTAATTGAAGTAAATTAAAACCCTTAAACCAATCAAAGAGACCAATGCTTTAATTAATGGCTTAAAACATTACCTAATTTAGTGAGAAATTGTGTTGAATTGATCGATTTTCTATTTTTTATTTTTTTTTCAGGATTTTTGGATGACTTTAGGATTCTTAGGGAGAGAGTTAATTGTGGGAGAAATCGTAAAAGTGCGCCCCACAAATGATACAATTGAACAGAATCCGTTAATGAGTAGTGCTATACAAACGTTTGTCATCTTATAGGTAGTTGTTCACAAAACAGCCTATCTTTAGGGTAGTTTTTCACAAAACTTCCTTTATATTATATACTAGATGAAGCACGTTCGATGCACAGTTTATTTTTATTTTTTCAAATAAAATATTTTACTAATATATATTTATATAATAAATTTTGTGATATTCGCTTGCTTATTACTTGAATTTTTTTATTATAAATAAATTATTAACTTTGTTTCTCATATTTAGATAAAATTAGTAATATAAAAGATAATATTTTTTTTCACAAAATTTCTTATGTGGCTGATCACACCGTGTGATCGGGATAACTTAGTCAGGAGTTACTTGGTTGGTCAAGGGTTACTTAATCGATCAGGGGTTACTAGGACGGTTAGGGGTTACTCGGTTAGTGTTTGGGTGTCTCTCACCCGGCCACACGATATGGCAAACCACACAAAACACACACTGATTTTATTTTTATAATTAATATAAAAGTTTTGATCTAAAATAAAGTTCAATTCTTTTTTTATTGGCTAAAATATAACATTTTCCTATGTGACGCTCTAAAATTAATCTTACGTGGCATATTCCTATTGTACCGTTTTAAAATTATTAATCCTACGTGGCGATTTTTTATTATAATCCTACGTAGCGTTTTAAAAAAATAATCTTATGTGCCAAAATCCTATTGTAGCGTTTAAAAAATATTAATCCTAAGTGGCGCTCTAATAATTTTTTATAAATTAAAATCCTACGTGGCGCTCTAAGAACTCGGGAAAAAACTCCCCTTTATATATATATAGTTTTGTGCCCTGGCAATGCCCAGATCATTGATAAAATTTTAAGATAATATTTTTACTTTAATGTTAAATATGGTCAAATAATTCGTTCTGATAATGTAGGATATTTAGACATATGATATGATATGGCTTATATTTATATAATAATACTTTTTGTAGTTTTGTTTGTAAATAGATAACTATGTTATTATTGACTTGAAATTATTTTTAATGAACTTAAATTATTTTTACTAAACTGAAAGTATTTTTTCCAAATTAAAATTAATTTTACAGATTAAAACTTATTTTTACTGGTTGTCTAATTTTTTTTTAAATAAATTAAATAACAATGCATTTTGTATGCGGCTAGCCGCATCATCTAGCCGAACAAAGTTGACCGAGTAACTCTAGTAATACTAACTAAGTAACTAACCTCTAACACTGACTAAGTAACCCCTATCTATAATACTGATTGAGTAACCACTATAACACTGATTAAGTAACCCTATAGAACTAACGAAGTAACTCTTGTAATTGTTGGTGACACGATTTGACCAGTTACGTGTAAAATTTTTGTGGTTAAAAATATTATAAATGGATCTTATTTTAAAGAATATTTTGAAACCAATTTTATGATGCAAATAAAACCGAGTTATAGGATATTTATTAAAAGTTATGATTAATTTTGTATATACGAAATATTAGATGTATAGTAATAATAAAATTGTATACAACATTTTTATCTTAAAAAATCTGTCCAAAAATCGCTTACTTAGCATTATCTGTGTCACAATAATACCTATTTGTCGTCTATTTGGCGCGACACTTGAAGAAAAATTAGAATGCCAAGTGTCGCTATCTTGTGGCTTGACTGCGAGACCGGCTTTATTTATTTGTCGCCTATATGGTGCGACCAGTGGTGGTTCCAGTATGGGTTCAGTGGGTTTAGTTGAACCCATACTGGATCCGAAAAAAATACTGATAAGGTTCAAACTAGTATAATTGTATAGATAAAACACAATGCATAATAAAAAAAATGAACTCTCAGCAGCTCAGCGGCTAGCCACTACTTCATAATATCTGAAGGTAGAAGGTTCGAGTCTGCCCAACTCAATTTTTTTTATTATTTTTTTGTTCCTATTTGTCTTTTACAGCTCAAATTCCCAAAAGACTCTCAGTACTTTATACCCATTTCCCAAGTAAACCAAAACAGTAAACGCTGCTCACCATCTCTCCATTTCATCTACTCACTTTTATATTAATTGATTTATGTTGTCTATAATCAACCAATTACTAATTAATCATTATTTAGTTGAAGTAAACTTATTTGAAAAATGAATTAGAAGTAGAGTGCTAATTTACAATTTTACATGTACGTTGTCTAGAGATTAAGATATTAGGTTAGGGTTTATATTTTAATGTAAAATTATTTATTTTGGTGAAATATTTTAATGTAAAATTAGTGTTAATCAAAATTGAAAATTGCTACGGAGTAGTTTTGAATATGTAAAGAGTATACGTGAAGAATAAGTTGATCAACAAGATCAAGCTGAGATAAGTGATAATTAGACACATTTATATAGAAAGATTTTTTTTCAAGTTAAGCTAAGGATGTAAACCATCCTTTGTTTAAAAAAAAATGTAACCAATCACTTTTATAATATAATAGACTCTTTGAATTCAGGTGTAATTATTTGAACATATGCACACCTGAATTATTGTGTGTTAATATTTATTTTAGATCTTAATTTGCTACTTGATTTTATTATACGTGTTTAAGGATTCCGAACCCATAACAAAGATTTTCTGGAACCACCACTAGATGCGACACTTGGCGAAAAATTGAAATGTCAAGTGTCGTTGTCTCGTGGCCTGGCTGCGAGACCGGTTATATATTAGTGATATGATATTAGATTTTTTTTGTTTATAGAAATACATATTTATAAATTATGAAAATCTATTTTATAATAGGAAAAATTGCTTTAAATAATACCATATTTCACCCGTCCGCTAAAAACAAGTCGACCTTTTGATTATTTCTACATAATACCACCTTTGGGGGGTGTCCGCTTTAAACAAGCTGTAACCTGTTAGTAAACTGATTAATAGGTTATATAGACACGTGTCATCATTTTATTGGTTTGAAAATATAAAATTTTTTTAACATTTTTAAAATTATTTTTAAAAAAAAAAAAAACACCCATCTCCATCCCCCTCCCCCACACGCAGGGACTCCACCGGCAACGGTTTGGCCGGCGCCCAGCTCCACCACCACCGGCCGTACCACCCCTTACCCCGACTTCGCTTGCCCCTATATTCGAGCCGTATCGGCATCCCAGCCACCACCATTGAAGCTGAAGAACTTTAAAAGCTTGTAGAGACAACAATGGAGGAAACTCCATTGAAGCTCACGTATAAGCAATGAGAATTAAGCTCAACCTAGAAAACAAAATATAACACAAGTTTAATCCATAAGAAAACTGAATACAACCTAGGGTGGTCTGAAATTTTTCTTCCTGTTGATTTGAAAGATTGATGAGTTTGGAAGTACAGATGAATACTTGGAACAGAAAACATGCTTCAAAATTCAAATAGTTCAAAACTTAAGTCATAAATTGTGGAATTTATGTTATAAATAACCATATGCTACAGTAGCAAAAAAATCATGAATAATATCTTATTTCTATAACCTATTGTAACTTATTTCTTCTACTTCATTCGATCAGTACTGTAAATAATCTGACAAGGAAGGGATGAACGTCGAACTAAAGAGTCCATTATCATCATTGTTTCATTTAACCAAATCCACAACCAACCTCCGCCAATTCACATGACTAGCTATCGCAATAACCACCACAACGGCCCGCAACATCAGCAGTCACATCTCTATTAGACGCCCACACAACAGCCACCAATTGCTCCACCAATTCGCCACCAAAGCCCGACGCCAACATCAACAATTTAACCTCCAACAATCAACAATTCAGCCAATTAGAAAATACATAAAATTAAACGAAAATACAATTGCATTCAGAACCGAAAGAAAGTCGAGCAAAAATTACACATAAAATACAATTGAAGCTCAAGATTGCCAAACGAAGAAATTAAGTTGAATTATAACATAATTACACTCATATGAAACTTGATTAAGAATGAAATAGCTTAAATAAAGTTAAGAGTAAAATTTCGAGAAAAAATTACACATAAAAACCTAATTTACTAAGATCAAGCAAAATCAAACAGGAAATCGAACAAAATTGAACAAAATCGAACAAGAAATCGCAAGATCAAACAAAATCGAACAAAATTGATGAAAAAAAGTCGAAAAAATTGATGAGCAAAAGTCGCAAAATCGCACTGGAAATCGAACAAAATTGATGAACAAAATACACAAAATCGCACAAGAAATCGAACAAAATCGTAGAAAATTTTTTTTGTGATAAAATTGCCAAAAAAAAAAATCGAAAATTAAAAAACTGAAATCTACTCAAATTATGAAAAATGACTAACTCACATAATAGATTGTTGATTGAGAAATTGATGAAGAACCGAAGAAATTGCAGCTGGATTTCAGAAGATAACGACGAAATCGATGAAGATTGAACCAAATACCTCTGTAATTTGATGATTTTCAGCATTGATTTTGATTTGGGAAGGAGGGAGATGGAGATCAACAGATCGTGAGATGGAGGAGAGAGAAAAATAGAGTAAAAATAAAGGAGAGATAATTTCATAAATTAGGTAACAAATTAAAACACTTAAATACACCAGATCTAATCTAATTCAATGGTCAAGAGTAGCCAATGAGTTTTAAGAAAACTGATGAACTTCGTTCATGCCTCTCTCCCAAGTAGAGTTCAAGGGATAATTAACATGAATCATAACTTTACCCATACCCATATTGCTTGTTCTGTGAAACCAGAAATGAGTTTGGGAGCAAGGGTACTAGGAAATCGTTCTTTTGAGAATCAAAGACCTAGTCCAACTACGGTCTCTACTAGCTCTTCCTTTTTCACAATTTCATTACCAAATATATATGCAATTTGATTCCTAAAAACTAAGTTAGTTAACTTTATTTACAAGCAAAAATCATAAAGTGTTACATTGCAACTTATGTCGTTACTCTACTTTATTCAAATTCGTGAAAAGAACAAGAAATAAACAATATTCACCTTGTCTTTAGTGATAAAACAAAAATTAGTTATTCCAATTCAAGTCTTTGATTAACGAAAGAATACTATGTGAATTGATTAATTAAAGTTTATTTTAAGTGACTTCTTGTTGTCTTTAGATTTAACGGGAGACCCCTATTGCACCGTCAGAGGGTGCTGGAGTGCTAAGCGCAACTCTCAGAGTCGTGTTCAGAAGTCGCACACAACTTTGGAAGTTGCGTGCGACGCGGTTTGCTCTATTCAAAGAATGCGTTTTTAAAATTCTCAAAAACTTTTTATTCCAAAGTCGCATTAAGGCATATGAGATATAATTGGAAATCTCTGACTGTCTACTTGCCAACGTCGTTAGAGTTAGGTAAAAATATTTTGTCGATTAAAAGAAATGTCCATTTGAGGCTTTTGCTCAGCAGATCTGCAAACGAGATTCGGAGCTTGAGGAGGCTCAGTCCGAGTTGGCCAAGGTGAAGAAGGAGCTTGTTGCCACAACTAAAGAAAAGTTTAAGCGGGAAACAACGTACAACAAGAGCTATAATGGTGGTTTTGATAGAGCTCAGAGGCTCGCTTTCCACCTTGTGCCAGACATTAATTGGAGGCAGGTTGAGGAATAGGCTTAAGACATGGAATCTCTTCAACTGAAGAACGTCAGTCAAGCCAAGCAGAATTACTCTGATGTTAAGGCTATTGAGGAAGGTGCTTCCGATGAAGACATGTTCCCAAAATAGAAGGCACCTCGTTTGTTGCCGGTCAGAATTTTGCTCTTGTGGTTCCCGAGGGTCCGAAGAACCTAGATGCCGAAGCATAGAAACTCGGGCAGCCACCTTTAGAATCCTATGGATCATCCTAGCCCTCTTATATATGTTGAAGCTGCACTTCTGTGATGCCTCTTCTCTTTTGCTTCAGCTTGCCAATGTACAAACTTTATTTCTTTTTGTGTACGTATTTTCGGTAGCTGTGTTTTCCGTCTTATGGGAGGCTGTTGTTGTCTTTGTTTGTATAATTGAAAATATTCGGATTCTACAATTTCTTTTTGTATCCGAGAACAATCTCTGTATTCAATTTATTTGCTTAAGTACTTGATTTCTAGCCTCAGCTTTGCCTGCTTTATTTTGTTAACATATCTTAGTTCGAACTTGGGTTTGCTAAATTTTGCCAAAACCAATAATCTGCAAATTTCTCTAAGTGTTGGTCCTCGATACTCTCTGCAAAAATGGCATGAATCCGATTAGTTCTGCTACTTAGCTGAACTTTGCTGAGCTTATCGATGTATAACCAAACATGCCCCCCAACTCAAGTCCAAAGGTGCATCTTCAGATTCTGAAGGGATTATGAGCTTTTGCTTGCTTCGACTAACATTTGAATCTTAGTTGCCAAATTTTTAGATATGCCATTTGAGAGGTATTATTTAACTTCGGTTGACATTATGCCTGACTTTCGTGAACGAAGTTTAAACTTCGATCGAGTTTGGTTGGATTCTTAATCCGACCTACCTCTCGGATTTAAAGCAAAGCAGAGACTTCGACCTAGTGGAATAGACATAGTCTAACAACCAGTTCGAATTCAAAACGAAGCAGAGACTTCGACCGAGTGGAATAGACATAGTCTAAAAACCATCTCGGATTTAAAACGAAGTGGAGACTTTGACCGAGTAAAGTAGACATAGTCTAACAACTAGCTCCGATTGAAAACAAAGCGGAGACTTCGACCGAGTGGAGTAGACATAGTCTTACAAACAGCTTGGATTTAAACAAAGCAGAGAATGCGACCGAGTTTGTTGGATTCTTCATCTAGCCTACCTCTCGTATTTGATAATGGGACGAGATGGGTTTTCGAAATTAGTTAACCTACCTCGGATCCACAGATTTAGTCATTTCGTAACAAGGTCTATAATAGAAGGATTGGCGAATTGCCTTTTCATATCATGATGGTAAAATTTTGTTACAAGGAGTTAGACTTCAGAAGGAAGTTCCTAGTTACACGAAGATATTTTTGAATACATTAGCATTATAATGATTTTTCATCTCGGTTCCATCAAGTTAGCGTAGCTTGTATGTGCCAGGCTGAAGCTTGTCGTAGATTTTGTATGGCCTTTCCCAAGTGGCCGAGAGTTTGCCATGAATTCTGCTCTTTTGTACTATTGCAGCACTTCAGAGGACTAGGCGTCCCCTACTTTCAAAGGCCAAGCATTGACCATTTGGTTATAGTGTTTGCTGACTCTTTGCTTGTATACTACCATTCTTTCCTTAGCTGAGTCTCGGATTTCATAAAAAAAAGTTTAGTGCTTCCTTTTGAAGTTGCTCGGTTTCTTCGGCGGCGAAAGCCTCCACTCTTAGGCTTTCAGTGCCTATTTCAACCAGTAGAACGACTTCAGATCCATACACCAAGATGAAAGGTGAGTGTCCCATAGCCTCCTTCTCCGTAGTTCAAAGTTCCTAGAGGGTCCTTATGAGCTCCTCTAGCCATTTGAGCTTTTGATCTTCAACCCTTTACCTCATCAAGTAGAGGATTTGCTTGTTTGTTGTTTCAGCTTGGCCGCTACTCCGTGGATGACAAATCGCCGAGTAAGCTAGCTTAATGCCAAACTAGTTGGTGTAATTTCTCATCGGTAGATTGTCAAATTGCCGTCCATGGTTGAAAACAAGTACCCTCGGAACTCAGAAGCGGATTACAATATTCTGCTAGATGAACTTGCAAAACGATTGTTCTGTGATGTTTGAGACTGCCTTGGCCTCAATTCAATTTTTGAAGTAGTCTATACCGACTATCAGCCATTTCTTTTGGTATAGAGCATTTGGGAACGGTTCTAAGATATCTAAGCCCACTAAGCAAAAGAATAGGATTTAGGATTGGTTGAAGGTCCCTAGATGGCTAATGGATCACGGGCACGAATATATTACATTTTTCGCATATCTTGAACATTTCTTTCGCATCCGAGACCATTGTGGGCCAGTTGTACCCAGCTCTGAGTGCCTTATGAGCCAAGGTCCTTCCTCCGATGTGGTTACAACAACTTCCGAGGTGAATCTCCGAAGGATGTAGTCGGCACCTTTGGGCCCCACAAATCTCAGAAATGGTGTCGAGAATGATTTTTTTAGCAGCTCTCCATGATAAACAATAAATTGAGATTCAATTTCCTTTATCTCGGAGGCTTCTCTCTTGTCCTCGGGGAGTATCCCTTGCAGCTTGTAGGCTAGGATAGGATCCATCCAGCTTGGTTCTGAAGTGATGCTATTGACTACAAAAATCACATCTAAACTCTTTAGATGGTGCACCTCCACAAACACAGATCGGTTCAGCTTGGTCAAATTTAAGCTAGCAAGTTTTGAGAGTGTATCAGCTTGTGCATTCTGATTTCGAGGAATCAGTTCGAACTCGAAGGTTCTTAGCTTCGCAATCAGAGTTTTGATCTTTAGGAGGTACGAGATCATAGAAGGCTGTTTTGCCTCAAACTCTCCTCGGATATGGTTTGCGACGAGCTGAGGGTCCGGTTTTAGGTGAAGATGATGGGCTTCAAATACTAAGCACAATTCTAGGCCAATGATTTCTACCTCATACTCGGATTCGTTATTTGAAGCTTTAAAAGTGAATTTTAGTGCATACTCAATGGATTTTCCTTTGATGGTTATCAGTACTACCCCCTACACCCGAACCATTCACAGTGCTAGAAAAAGGATTTTTAAGGACAAATTATTTTGTCATTAAATGCCCAAAAATTCGTCGTTAAAGCTTTTAACGATGAATTTTTTTTCGTCGTTTGTTCGATGTAATAGGCTCCCTCATTATTGGTTTTAACGACAATGTTCGTCGTTAGATAATGACGACAACAAATCATTCTGTCATTAACTATTAACGATAAGTAAAAGATTCGTCGTTAATACATATTTTTATTAACGATGAACTACTAGTCAATAACTACCAAATAATCCCTCGTACAAATACAAATCCAATGTTCCAAAAAAAATATAAAAAGGATTTAACGATGAAATACTTTGTTGTTAATAAATGCTTTTAACAAGAACCTGTTTATTTATCAATATTTTTAGAAACCACTACTATATTCAATTAAATTACAAAATACAAGAGAAATAAAAATTAAAGAAATATCATAAAAATAACAAATTTTAAATTAGTAACTAAATTTCATGTCTGATGAAACCCAACAATTACAATATTCTATCATATCTAAAAACCGGACTATTCATAGTACAATATGACTAATCAATACAAGAACCAAACGGGTTAGAACTTAAATTGCAAGGCTAGACTAAATTTGCTCTATCTTACTATCAAATGGAAGCCTATATACCCCTTAACATTTACAGCCCCTATTCTTAACAAAAAAAATAAAAAAAATAAAAAAACCTCAAAAATTTGATAATCCACCAACAGTTTCCTCTTCAGATCATCAGCTTCAAAGATACCTTACTCAATACTTTTGTAAGAGCATGCCTTTTCCAATTTTTGTATTGTTGGACGCTCCTCTTTCTTCCCTGAAATAAAAAAGATTGGGGATGTTTTCTGTGTAAGAATTGCAATCATGAATATAAAAGTCTCATTGTATTGTAACTGACTTAATATTTGTGTCACACGAAGATCCTCACCTTTTTTTCTTCATATTGGGAAATTGTATCAATTAAGAATAATTTGTTAAACTTCATTAGTTAAGATAAATCATTTTCTACCACATTTCCAAGGTAAATTACAGTGTCGTGCACCATGAAGTGTAC